CAAACAACACATTTTAAGCAGAGACAGACCTGTTCTCATGCCATTAAGCCAGGGAGACAGACTGACAAGTCTAGGGTAAAGGAGCGAGAGCTGAAGGATTTACGGGGAGAGGCAAGGGTTTGAACAAGCAGGCTCTGAAAGGACGAAGGAGAAGGAGGGCAGAGGAAGCTGTGGGGAAGGACACAGAGTTCCAGAGGAACAAGTCAGTGTGAGCAATGCTTGGGCTCCTGGCTCTGACTGGGTAGCTCAGTTGGTTAGAGTCTTGTCCTAATACTCCAAGGTTGTTGGATCGATTCCCAGTCAAAGAACACACAAGAATAAACCAATGAATGGGTAGGCAAGTGGAACAACAAATGGATGTCTGTCTCTCTCCCCCCATCCTCTTTCTCTCCCTCGAATCAATAAATAACAAAAAATGAACACTTTAAGAGAAGTTTGGGCTCTGCTGCCAGGCAGGAGAATAGTAGGCAGTGATGTCAGACAGGTGAGCAGAGACCAGACTGGAAGCACCTGCACAGTGAGGTGAGGAATGACATGACCAGTCCTGGTTTAGGGAGTGCACCCCGGGGCACTGAGTGAGGTTGGTTATAGTTAGGCCTTTAAGCAACAAAGCAGGAGGTAATGAGTCCTGACCTGAGGGAGGTGGTAGTGACTGAGAGCAGAAAGGAGATGATAGGTATGAGAGGCATGGTGGAGACAAGAGTTCAAACTCCCAACCCTGAAATCTCCTTTTATTCCAGCATACCATTTTCAAAACGTTTTAAGTATTTACTACTTTCCCCAGAGCTGTCTTTTCCAGTATCACATGACCATTATGAGGCCCAGCTTTGCATATAGGTGGACAACATGGTGTACAAAAATAATTCCAGGGGTGAGGGCATTTATGGGAGTGGGGTGGGGTGGGGCAATGGTAAGATATGTAAATATACAATATCTAAATTTAAAAAAATGGGGAAAATTTCCACTCAGACGTGACTCAGGGTCAGTATCCTAAATGCTCCCGTGAGTTGCACCTCTCACTGGCACAGGGCAGCTGCCGTGGGAAGGCAGAAATACAATGGCTTGAGCTTCCAGAGCTCCCAGGACATGGTGACACTGTAGGATCTAGCCAACAGAGAAGCTTGTCAGAAATGTAGCGTCTGTTACTACTGAGTGCCTGCTTTTGTGGAAACCAGCTGGAAACACTCAGACAGGTGTTTCCTCTGAGGGGCCTGGCCGTCAGAGAGCTTTCAGAACCCGCGCTCATTCCATCCGGTCAGCCCTACAGTGAGCCCAGCGGAGGCTTTGCACTTGAGGGCTGAAGGAACATGTAACTGTTTATAAGGAATTTGTTTACAAGCTTTAGACTGTCCCTGAAGAGTCGGAGTTTTGAATCGAGGGCACAGCCTAGAACTGAGCTGCAAGTTTGAGTAAATGGCAGGGAAGCAGGTGCTGGTCAGGCCTCATCCTTTAAAAGAGGAGAGGAGAAGGAAACAGGCAGCTGAGAAACCTTTAATAACTCAAAAAAAGAACAGATATAGTCAAGCCCTGAAGAAGCCCGTGGAAAGGACTGGCAGCACTGCCTGGGCTCCGAGGAAGATGCAGGTTAGGATCTTGAGCTGCTTCAGAATGAGCCCAGCTACCTCCACCCGTTAGAAGAGAGGGGGCCCCTCCCTCACTGTTCGAGACCTCTGTTTCCCTCCCTGTAAAATGGAAGGTGGAACTGAGACAGCGAGGATCTTTCTGGCTCTTAAGATTGTGCCTTTGTGGTTACATTTGTAGTGCTTCCCAGAGTAGAAAGGACTCAGGTGGGACTGGCTCTCCTACTGTCCCTCCTTTTTTGGCCACTCACACCAACCCCGGAGAAGGTGGCCTCAGTCCTGGAGCGCTCAGCCTAACAAAGCCTCTGTTGACGCTGACACTGGTTATCCTGAATGGGCCAGGCCTCACATGCTTTGCATGTTCATTGTTCCTGCTCCTGGTTATTCATGTGTGGGGTCACAGACCTGGGCTCCTCTGTAACTGTCCTCTTCCTGCAGCTGGCCTTGGCCATTGCAGCCTGGCATTTCTTCCTGGGTGACTCACCAGGTAGGTCGAGCTCACCCTTGAAGCCCCCACATTATTTTCACTTACACTCCTCCCAGCCTGCCACTCCCTTGTGGGGGTGCTCACAGAAAATGCAAGCAAATAGGTTCTGACTGACGCCTGAGCCAATGGTTGGCCTGTGACAGCTGGTGGGGGCCTCGGAGGCTTTCTTCCCTGGCGGCTGGGTTTTCTACTAGGTTGGGATCAATTTGGGTGATAGAATCACAATCTTAAGCTATTAAGTTGTCAATAAACGCTACTTCAGACCCCACAGCCTGTTAGCAGTTTATGTTCCTGATTTCCAGTTAGTGCTGCTAGCTTTAGGTCGTAGGAGGTTGGACTGAGTTACAGGAAGCCCGGAGTCATGTGGCCAGGGTTCCAGCTGGAGGCTGCCACCTCACACTGCCTCACCCTGCCTCTTCCTCTCCTTTGCCCTCCTCAGACACAATGGGAACATCCTTTTGGACGCCGAGGGCCACATCATCCACATTGACTTCGGTTTCATCCTGTCCAGCTCTCCCCGAAACCTGGGCTTTGAGACGTCAGCCTTTAAGCTGACCACAGAGTTTGTGGACGTGAGTCAGGAAGGAGAGGTGCCTCACTGTGTTCTTTCTCTGTCATGGGAGGGGGAGCTAGTGGGCTCCCCCCAGATTACGGACAAACAGAACAGAAATGGCAGTAAGTCAGGGTGAGGCTGGGTGTCCGAGGCTTCCTGCCTGCTGAGAGTTGGGAATTAGTGGGCTTTGGCATGTTTGTCCTAACGGTGGGAGTTCCGGCTGGGGGTACGCTGAGCCCTTATCCCCACAACCTCCTCCTCCCCTCACAGGTCATGGGCGGCCTGGATGGTGACATGTTCAACTACTACAAGATGTTGATGCTGCAGGGGCTGATTGCTGCTCGGAAACACATGGACAAGGTGGTGCAGATCGTGGAGATCATGCAGCAAGGTGGGGCTGGGGAGAGGCAGGTGGGACAGGGCTGTGCCCAGCATGGGATTTCTAGGAAGTGCCTTCTACCTGACACCAGGCGGGCAGGGGTTCCCAGCCCCGACCCAGTGCCATTTCTCCTTTGGGACGTGCCTCCTGACAGAGCTAGGTCCTGGGGATAGATGGGCGGAGGCCCCAGAAACTACCTCCTCTCGGCGAGAACAGTCTCATCTCCAGCCTTTCGGTCCCCTTCCCATCACTCAGCTCTTCACCAGCTCAGATGTTTCCAGTCACCACTTTCCTTCCCACCAGGCTTTGACCTCCAAGTGCCCTGTCCTCGGGCCCTTCCCCTGTCCTGATAGTCATCCCTCCTGCTCTGAGCTTAGTTCCTCACCTGTCACCTATCCATTCACTGTCCTGTCTTCACTGCCATCATCTAGTCTTGTCCCTCCTCTCCCAGCCCTCTGAGCCCTTGTCCTAACCCCACTCCTTCTGGGTGCAGAATACACCCATTCTGAGCTGCCAGTCTCCTCCTCCTCCCCACCCCCAACCCCGCCCCACAGGTTGCCGCCGTTGCTCAGGAGCACCCCTGTCTGGCCCCATGACGACAGTGGCCCAGGTCATCTGTGAGTGTCAGACGTAGCGTAGGCAGAGCCCTGCAAACCAGATAAGTGCCCAGCTCAGGGCCCATTCCCAGGACCTTTTCCCAGCCTTCCCTCTGGGTCCTAAGTCTCTGCTCCCTCAGCTATCACTGGGGGAGATGTGTTGGCCGCCTGCCCTCCTCTACCCTCATGCCCTCGCCTCTAGAGGGGTTTGGAGCATGGCATGAGGATGGGTGCAAGACAGGGCCTCCACCATTCTGTTCTCCGCAGAACTGCACCCACGTGCTCAGGGGTCTTTCTAAGGTCTTGCTGGGCTGTTAACCTCTGGCCCTCCCTCCTTTTGGTCCATGAGCCTCTGTCCTTCCTGCCTTCCCAGGTTCTCAGCTCCCTTGCTTCCACGGCTCCAGCACCATCCGCAACCTCAAGGAGAGGTTCCACATGAGCATGACCGAGGAGCAACTGCAGCTGCTGGTGGAGCAGATGGTGGACGGCAGCATGCGGTCCATCACCACCAAGCTCTACGATGGCTTCCAGTACCTCACCAACGGCATCATGTGACACCCTCTCTCAGGCCCCAGCGTGGTGGGGCGTTCCAGGGACCCTCCCTGGGAGAAACCCCACCCGCCCACTCATCCACGGGAAACGGAAGGCAAGAAACACAAAGGATCATGTGGTGACTGGAGAGCTTGCCAGGGGAGAGCCAGCTGTGGGGCCCAGGCTTGCTGGGGCTTCCCTGCCCCCAGCGGTGTCAGTATTACCACCCGAGGGACTCCGGGACTCACTGCCCCCCAGAGAGAGGTGACAGATGGGAGGGCACTGGGCCTTTCTGCTCCTCACCAGGGTCCAAGAGGTTCTTTCCACAGGCCATCTTCTTACTCTGTCCTAGGTCCCAGGAAGGGGAAGAGTGGGCTCTTGGTACTTACACTTTGATCCTGTGGTTCGCCTCTGGCCATGCTGCTGCCCGACTTCCCCCAGGGACTGACTCCCAGCCCAGTTCCCCTGGCAGGTGGGCTCTGGCACAGGGTCCGGCCCTTGCCGAGGTCCACATCATATCACAGAGGCCAGGAAGGGTTATCACAACCCCGCCCCTGCCTGAGGGTATTGGCCTGGCCACAGGGAATGCCTTGCCCTGATCCCTTCCCACACCCAGGGAAATAGCTCTCAATTTTTTAATTTTTGTTTGAAATAAAGTCCTTAGTTAGCCATGTGTCATTTCTGAGTTGTATTTTTTGGGGGGTGGGGTGAGCGATAAGCGAATAACGTACCACACGAGCAAGGTGGAGGAAGACTGCTTTCCCTACCTGTCTCCGTCAGTACCACTTCTTCCCAGAGAAAGGCCTCCCTAGATTTGATCCTCACCCCCTCCTTCAAGTCTACATTGTCCAAGTCACACCAAAAAGAGCCTGAATGGGGATTAAACCACAAGCAGTTTTAATGGTCTGGTTTTCTCCTTCCCATCTCCCCCACTGTTAGTATTATTACTACAAGAATAAAGGATTCCTGAGAGCCTGTCCCCCTCCTCTCCCTGGGCCCCCATGACAGGACTCATCCCTAGCAGCCCCCCTGCATTTCTGGGAGTGGGGGAAAACAAGTGAAAGGCACTGTGGGGGTGGGGGCTTGAGTGCCAGGGAATCTAAGGGGTAGTGCTAGGGCAGGGCAGGGCCGGGCCGGGCCGGAAGCCCGCCTGAGGGGCTGTGGAGTGTGACTGCCGGCTGGTCCCTTGGACCTGTCTAGCAGGCCTGGAAGTCCGTCCTCCCATCCGCGGGCTGCAGCAGGCGCACAATTAGTGTTGGGCTAAGAGAGGAGGAATGGAGAGCCCGCTCTACTAGGACCCAAGGGCCAAACCCACAGTGGGGACTGCAAACAACTATAATGCTCAAGTCTGTTGTCTCTGGGGACTAGGGGGCGAGGAGTGGAACGAAATGTGAATGTAAGGAACCCCCAGCCTGTGGAGCAGCAGTGACCCGGGCTCCTGGGGAAGAGGAGGGGCCAGTCAGTCCAGGTCTGGGGCTAGTTGTCCCCACTGACTCCTTGCCGAGCCCTGATGAACGCCATGCCGTGTGTGCGGAAATGGGTCTTGAGGTTGAGAGGGCTGTCACAATTCTTGCCACAGACTTTACAGGTCAGTGGACCTGCAGCAGCAGGCAAGGGTGAATCTGCACCGTCCGGGTCAGACCTCAGTAGAGCGGGCGCCTCTTCCTCCCCATCCCCCACACCCAGGGCACTGGCGCTACCCACAGCCCGTTTCTTCTTGTGGCTGATGAAGCGGTGCCGGCTCAGGGAGCCAGGGGAGGCAAAGCATAAGCCACAGTCGAGGCACTGCTGGGTCCCACCATCAACCCTCAGCCCCACCACGAGGCTCTGCTCCACGGGGCCCCCGCTCCGGAAGCGCAGGGGGCCTCCCGACCCGGGCCCACCCAGCCCGGGGGACTTGGCCGGAGGTGTTGTGCTGTCAGGCTCCTCACTGCAAGAGTCAGAGGACTGCCGACGTTTCCGTCCCGGCCCCTGGAGAAGATAGTGAAGAGCTGGGCCTCCCCGTCACCCCGTGACCCTGGCTCCCCCACCTCGCTTGCGAGGCCAGTCTGTAACCGCAGTTCCCACCACTCCACCCCGCAGGGGGCTTACCTGGGCTCTGGCCCCGGGGCCCCGGACCACCACGCTCCCCCGGCCAGGAGACTGGTCCCCGAGCGGCAGGCCGTGCCGGACCTGGACGTGCTTCTCCAGGATGAGGCGGCTGCTGAAGGTGCGTTTTCCTTCTGTGCAATACCTGGAGGGGGAGGCGCGGTGGGTGCCGAGGCCCGAAGACCGAGGCCAGTGGCTCCAGAGGACGACGACTACTAGCGCGTCAACCCTTCGTCCACTCGCACAAGAGGCAGGAGGGACGGGGAAGGGGTGGGGAGTGGGAGGGGTCACCGCGGGCAGAAACAGGAAGGGGGCAAGAAGAAAAGGGTTACCTGCATGGGTAAACTCGCTTGATACCCTCATGATTGACCCTGACGTGGCGCCTCAGGCTGGGCGCGGAACAGAAGGATCGCTCACACAGGCGACAGGGAAACTTTTTCACTGACTAGGAGAGCAGGGAGGGGACCCTCAGAGCCAGGCTTGCAGGACCGAGCCCCACTGCCGGATAGGACAACCCCGAGGCTGCCCCTCCAGCCCACCTTGCTCACCTTGCCATGCTCCTTCTTCATGTGGGCCACATACTCATCCCGCTCCGGGAACCAGGAGTGACAAAGGCCACAGCTCCAGCCTGCAGAGCCCACACCGCCCCCCTTGGTGCCTGTGCTCTCCACATCGCGCCGGGGCTGTTTGGGTGGGCCAGCAGCCTCTGGGGAGCTGGGGAGGTCCTCTTCCGAAGAGGAAGACAGCTCCTCTACAGGGGGAGCTGCTCCTCCCGGAGACACAGCCAGCTCCTCAGACTCGGCTTTAGGGGACAGAGGAGTATCCCCGGCCCCTTTCCCAGCAGTCTCCTCTCCCGAGCGACCAGTCTGATGGGTGTTCTGTGAGGGAGACAAGGGGGACGGCAGCTGTGGGGGGGGGGGCATGGCTTTGCCACAATCCTCGTTTCCCCTCCCCGTCTTCCGGAAGGTTGTGTGGCCCTGGCACCAGGTCAACACAGCCGAGCACCCCACTCCAGCCCTCGACTCCGATACCTTGAGATGATCCAGCATGGTCCTTTTTTGGGCAAAAAGCAGAGGACAAGACGGGCACTTGAAGACACTGACGCGCTGCGGCAGCAAGTGCTGGTCGAAGTGTGAGGAGAGGAGGGGCTTGTGAGTGAAGACCGTGTCACACATGGCGCACTTGTAGATCATCCTGTGCAGGCGGAGAGGACAGTGCAGACACCTGCCCCTCAGGCCCAAACCCTCTGGCCCGCCCCTCGTCGCCCCATCCCAGGTCTCACTTGGCCTGCTGCGTGGGGAAGCTGGGGTGCTGGGTGTAGAGGTGGGCGTGGGCGCTGGGTCCAGACTTGAAGGCCATGGGGCAGATGGGGCACTTGTGGAAAACCTCGCAGTGCGACGTCTGGATGTGCGACTTGATGGAGTTCGCGCCCCCGAACACCACCGCACAGCTGGGGCACCTTCAGGGAGGAATGGGAGGCACGGTGGTGAGGGCTGTCTCCATCCCCTGCCCCCCCCCACACACACACTCATCCTCAAGGACTGGGTGGACTCAGCTCATCGGAGGTGAAGCCTGAGCAAGGTGAGGGCAGGAGGGGGCTGCAGAGACAACGCCCAGGGGAGCCCACTGAGCAGAGCTGGAGCTGCAGAGGTGCCCTGCTGTCTGCCAGGACACCAGGCTGCGGGACTAAGCAGGAAAGATGGGGCTCTCAGGAGGCATCTGAAAGGCTGGTGCGGGGAACCATGAGGCCAGCAAGGGCACGTGGGAGTGTGGAGACATCGGGGAAGGAGAGGCACCTGTATCCCACACGGCGAGAGAAGTGCAGGCAGGCCTCCCGGAGGTGCGTCTGGAAATTCGCCTGCAGGAAGTTGCCCCCGCACTCGGGGCAGACGTGGGGGGGTCGGTTCTTGTGCATGCGCTGGTGGGCGCTGAAGCTGCAGCGATTGGGGAGCATCATGGGGCAGGTTGGGCACACCTGTCAAAAGGGGGAAACAAGGTGAGTCCGGGAGGAGCGGCTTGTCCCCCATTACCTTCTCCTGACCAAGCCCCTCGCACCTCCCCAGGCGCCAGCCCCCGGCCTCCCCTTCCCCAGGAAGGGCAGGGAAAGGCACTCACATTGCTGGCGGCCCCAGGGGCGGGGGGCCCAAGCTGCTGGAAGTGGGCAGCCATGCCCGCCTTGTCCCGGCACAGCTCCTTGCACTCCAGGCAGCGAAAGCACGTGTAAGTAGAGGTGGCAGGGGCGGCGGCAGGCGGCTCGGCGGAGAGGGGCAGCACAGGAGCCTCAGCAGCAACCGTAGAAATGGCAAAGGTGGCGATGGCCCCGTCGCCCTTGCCCAAGGCAGACAGGACGGAAGGTCCGAGGCCCGGGGGGACGGCCAGCAGGGGCGTGATGTCCGGCTGCCCCACCATCTGGTCCAGGGCCACGGGCCTCATGACCAGGTGCGAGCACTGCATGACCAGCCCCTTGTCCTTGTGCTCGCGGGCGTGCAGCAGCAGGCTGCACTTGTTGAAGAAGACCAGGCGGCGCGCGCAGTGGTTGCAGGTGACCTCGATGCGCATGCTCCGGCGGTCGTAGTGCCGGGCCAGGCTCTTCTCCAGCGAGAAGGCGTCCCCGCACTCCAGGCAGCGGTAGCCGGAGGGCGGCAGGGCCAGCCCGGCCTCCGCGGGCGGGCTCAGGTTCGGCCGGTAGGCGGGCAGCAGGTTCTTGGCGTTGAGGATCTTGTTGAAGGCCTCCACCAGGCTGGACTGCGTCCGTGAGATCACCGTGCCGCCCCCCGCGCCCGGCACAGGGGCTGGCTTGGAAGGCTGCACTATCACCACGGAGGCCCCGTTCACCTTCTGTCCCGCTATGCCCAGCCCGATGCGCCCCTCGACCTTGGGCAGGGCTTGGGGCACCAGCCCCAGCACATTCTTAGCAATTGTCTTCGGGCTGGCGGTGCCCCCGGGCAGGACCACCGCTTTGCGGGCCACGCTGGCCGCCATCAGCATGGCGGTACTGGCGTTCTGGAAGGTGGCCACAGGCAGCACAGTGCCCTTTAGCCTTGTGCCGTCGCCCAACTGGACGTTCACCACTTTGGGACTCTCAGGAGTCAGGACTGCAGAGGTCAGCTTCAGGAGGTTAGCCTCAGCCAGAAAGGTGCCCTCGGGCAAGGGCGCAGGGGGCCCAGGGTCCGAGGGGACCCGGGTCACAGTCCTCGTGACATTCCCACAGGACGTCTTCACGGTCTTGATCCGCACCTTGAGGGGCCGGGAAGAGCCGGAGGAGGCAGGGGAGTCATTGCTGTCCTCGTCAGCAGCCTCCGCTCCGCTGGAAGGGCTCTGGGGACTTTCTGGGGGAGACTTGACCACTGGCCCCGGGTCCTCCTCTTCTTCCTTCAGGGGCTGGCAGCTGGGCACTTTGGGGGAGGCAGGAGGGCTCTGATGGCCTGGAGACTGCTTGAAGAAGGGCACCCCAGCAAGCTGGGGAGGGGAGGGGCTGGCAGGGATGCCCACGGCCTCGGAGCCCGAGCTGAGCCGGGCTATGGCCTGGGGGTGAAGGGGACTGCCGCTGTCCTGCTTGAGGGCGCCCAGCTCCTGCTTGAGGGCGCCCAGCTCCTGCTTGAGGGTGCCCAGCTCCTGCTTGAGGGTGCCCAGCAGTGGGGGAGAACTGGGGGGCAGGAGGGCGGGGCCGTTCTCCGCGGCCAGCTCAAAGGGAGAGGGGAAAGGAGGCGGGGTCATGGTCCCTTCTCTCAGGGGGGAGGGCACCGAGGAAGGCAGGGGATCAGGGTGCTCTCCTGGCTCAGGCTCAAAATGAGCAAAGAAGTCCAAAGGTGCTTTGCCTTCTATGGCTCTTGCTTTCCAGGAGCCGTCCCTGGGAGGAGTTGGAGAGTGGGGGTTTCCCCCAAAACCATTCTGCAGCAGATGAGGCCCCACAGGTTCCTCCTTAATCGTGACCCCAAGCCGGGCCCCTTCCCCTCCTGAGCTTCCAGCCAGGGGCTCGGGCTGCTCAGGGCACACGGTGTTCTTGACAATGACGCTGACTACCGAGGTGTCCCCCGACGACAGAGCATGCTCAGAGTCCTGGGTGGAAACCCCAGAGCCATCCCGAGTAGCTGCTGCTGTCCCTTCTCCAGATTCACCCTCGACACCGGGTTCTAGCTTCACTGAGATTCCCGGCCCCTCGTTTTCCTCTGGCCCAGAGTGGATGGCTTCATTTGCATCAATGTCGGGGATGTCGAAGGCAGCAAGGAGGTCGTCAAAATCAGGGGTTTTCATGTCTCCCATGGCGGCCAGTCCCGGACCTGCTGAGAACAGGAAGAGGGAGAAACTGCAATCTCTGGAAGCACAAACCCTGGGCCTCCTTCCTCAGGGTCTCCGCAGTTCTCTCCTCTCGGAAAGCCCCACACTGACCTAGGCCCACCTCCATCACAGTGCAAACCCCAGAGAGATGGTAGAGGCGCTTGGTTTGCCAAACCCTAAAACAGGAAGGAAGGCGGCGTGCAGATCCCTTAGAAGACACCAAGATCCAGAGGAAGCGGAGGAAAAGACTTCTCAGAAACACGTATACAAGGTGAGAGGGACAGAGGCGGAGGGATTCAGTGTGTATCTTGGGTGAAACCACTTAAGCCCCTCCTGTGTCCAGCCCAGAGTCAACCACTCAGAACTACTATGAAGGAGGAGGACAGACACAATGCTCTAGGTTCAAGAGCTCATTCGTGGCAGCATGGTATCCATTCATATTCTTATTTCTTTTTCTTTTTTTAAGTACAGTTTTATTTTTAGAGAGGGAGGGAGAGAGAGAACCATTAATTGGCTGCTTCCTGCAGGCCCCCCAATGGGGACTGAGCCTGCAATCCAGGCCTGTGCCCAGACTGGGAATCAAACCATATGACCTCCTGGTTCATAGGTTGATGCTCAACCACTGAGCCATGCCAGCCGGGCTCCATTCACATTCTTCACGGATCTTCTGAGGGTTTACAGAGATCCGGAAAACCACGTCACGAGACACAAGACATGATTCTCACTCCAGCTTTATCAACAGCCTGCTGGAGATGAGCAAGTTACTCCACTGCCTTACTTTTGTCATTTGAATGAAGGAGGAGGCAAGTAACCCACATATCATAGGATTATCCTGAGCATGACATGAAATTGTAAACATGACCGAATCCAGAATACAATTTATTATGACAGGGCAAACAAGGCCACATCAGGTGGTGGCAGGGCTGGGCTGGGGTCAGAGACGAGAGGCAGGGATGATTACAAGATCGAGTCTGAGGCACCTGGGGTCATCACTGGCACCTGGAGACCCAGCTCGGTTAACAGAGAAGCGGACTCAGTGTAATCACCCAAGAAACCAAGAGAGAACGAGCCACAGGAAGAGAAAGACAAAGAGAAAAGACAGGGGAAAACCGAGAGGAGCCTGGTCACAAGGGCCTCCTCCGTCACAAACACCTGGTGCTCCCTCACCTACCCCGCCCCTCCCACCTCCCCATCTTGCTCTCTCAGGGCTAAAACTCTAGGGTACGAGCTTATTCAGCACAGCTGCCGCCTGGGGAAAAGCCAGCCCCCCTCAGCCCTACCCTGGCTGCTCCGAGTTCCTCCCCCATTTAATTTTCCTTTGGCAACGGTAGCCCAGGAAGTCTCACCCAACCCCAACCTTGCCCAGGACAAAAAATCAAAACAAAATCAAATCCCATAAGACGCGTGTCCCTGAAACAACCAGAAGGCCAGCCTGGAGCCTGAGGGGGCCCCCAGGCCTACTCCCCTACCAGCCTCTCCCACAAGTGCACCTCCATCTCCGAAGCAGCAACGGAAGCACATCCCCTCCCTGCCCAATTCTCTCACCTCTTTCTAGCCTTAGACTGTAACTGGAGATAGTCCCAGCAGGTGGCAGGTGGCATTGCTGGGACCAAGGTGGGGGTAGGGGGTGAGGGTACCAATTAGAGGGAGGAAGAAAGGGGGTCCTCCCCTCACCCCCACCCCCACGCCCAATTCTGCAGGCTCTGGGTTTGAACAAAGCCCTCCACCTCCTGCCTCGGGCCCCGATGCTAGGCCCTCCTCTGCCCGGCTCTCCCTCTCCTGACCTGGGGAGGCCCGAGCTGCATCTCGCGCGGCTGGCGGAGCCCAGATCAATGGGGAGGGGCTGGGAGAAAACATCTGCAAACTCGCCTCCTCCAAGCAACCACCCCTTTGGCGTGGCGTCCAAGGGCCTTGGAGGCCGACCGAGAGCCAGGAGCAGACACAGACCACGCAGAGGAGCTCAAGGCCAAAGAGGCTCCCCCCACCTCCCTGCCCAGGCCTTTCTGCGGCGGCTGCGCCCAGTCTCTTGGGCTCCGCCCCCGCCTCCCGCCCCCCCCCCCCCCCCTTCCCTCGGTTCTTCCCCAAAAGCCAAAGGAAAGGGCTTAGCAGGAAGAGGGGGAACTGGTCCCGGGTGGGTGGGGGCCCGCAGCGCAGAGGGCGAGGGGCTGGCGGCCGGGGGCGATTAGGCTGCGGCCGCGCTGGGCAGCGGGCGGAATTAAGTCCCTGCCATCTGCCGGGGGCCGGCGCCCGGGGCGCGTCCGTCGCTGCGAGGGAAGGGGCGGGGTGTGCACTGGAGGAGCCAGAGGGGAAACTGAGGCTCGCGCCGGCCCTCCGGTAGCCGCCGCCGCACAGCACCCCGGGGCCCGGGGCTCCCGAGGGGCTTAAGGCGCGGAAACCGAGCGGTGGGCACGGCACAGTGGGTCCCAGCTCCTACCGGCGCCCCTCGCTGCCCGGCGCCCCGCAGCCTCCCCCCCAGGCTCCCCGAGACCCGAGGGCGCGGGAGGCGCGCGGCAGCGGCCGGGGCGCGAGCCCGAGTCCCGCCCGCCCGGGCCCGGACGCTGCCCCGCGCCCAGCGGGGTGCAGGCTCGGCTCCGGCCTGCGGGTCCCCCGCCCCCACCCTCGGACGCGGACACCATTTTAGGTCGCGACACCCCGCAGCCTCCAGCCCCCGGGCCTTGCGCGCTCCGGACGCGGCTCGGGCTGGGAGCCCCGGGTCCGGGAGACCCCGGCCCGCCCTCCGCGTTTACCCTGCGAGGGGCTGTGCCCATCCGCCCCGGGGAGGGGAGCGGGGTCCCGGCCTTCCCAGGAGCAGCCCCGGGGGGGACGCGCGGAGAGGGGGGTGGTTGACCAGGTGGGGGAGGGGCGGGGGCATTTACCCGCCCCCCGGGGGCGGAGCCAGGGGCGGATATTCACCCCCGGCGCGCTTACTTCGTTTGGCTCCCAGTGCGGGCCGAGCGCCGGCGGGCCCTCCCCTGCTCCGGCCGCCGCCGCCGCCACCGCCGCCGCAGCCCTCCCCGCCGCCGCCGCCGCTACTTCCTGCTTCTCTCCCGTTCGGCCTCCCCCTTCCTCAGCTCCCCCGGCGTTCCCGGTCCGGGCGGCCGGCTTTCGTACTCGCCATTGGCCAATCCCCTCGTCGTTCAGCGCCGCGCCCCGCCCAGCCCCGCACGGGGTTGGCCTTGGGTCCTGCCGCTCCGGACAAGCCCCGCACGGGCTTCCCAGCTTCATTGGGCAAGGCGCCTAGTCCTCCTGAAGCGCCTCTGGCCATTGGCTGGGCCGCCACCTGCCCCATCTGTGCATCTCAAAAGCGATTGGCCGCGCCGCCTGTCGTTTAGGAAGAAGCCGAGCCGATTCCCTGCTTTCCCTACCGGAGGCGGTGACTCTCCAGGTGCGTCCCCGCCCCCTCGCCTCCCCATTGGCCGCGATCCCGAAAGCCTGCAGTTCCCTGATACAATTTTCAGGAACTCTCAGCTGCGATGTGGGGAACACTTTGAGGGGAATCTCTTCGGCTCTGAAAGGACCCGGATGTGTAGGTCCGTTTGCGCTTTCTCAGGCTAAACTCCAACGTCAGTCATGCCATGCAGGAGAGAGAGAATGGGACGTCACCCAAAACATTACGTCATCTGGCTATGTTCCTGCGGTCTTCCTGTCTGAATCGCCATATGGACGGGTCCTCGCGCGGGCCAGTAGCTGGCTGCGTCACCCATCGCTCCCCGCAGTGCGGAGGGCTCTGGGCAGAGCAGGTGCTGGGGGCTGGAAGGAGCCCGCACCTGAAGCCTGGGACCGGGGTGCAGACCGGAAGTGGGGGAGCGGTGACGTGAGAGTGCTGGCGTGGCCTGGGCCCTTTCCAAAGGGATCTTAAAGCGGCGCACTGGTAGGCTTCCGAAACACGTGAAGGGGAGCAGGGAGAGAGTACACACACACACACACACACACACACACACACACAGTGTCCCCAACGTATACACGATGATTATAAAGGTAGTGTTTATTAAAATACATTTCATTTCCAAAATTGAGCTAACAGCTGTTACAGTGCATCATTTTTGGGGGACTCCCTGAATTACGTATTTGTGTGTGTGTGTGTAAATACATACAAATATACCCATTTCCCATTTAAGATCTCTTTTCCCTCCCCCCCCCCCCCCCCCCCCCGCAAGGATGAAGGTGGAGTCCAGGCCGATTTTCCCGCGCTTTGCTGCCCCGCCCCCTAGAGGCGGGAGAAGGAAGAGATGCTTGGAACAAGAGTTGCCTGATGCTGTAATCACTCACCAGCAGAATTCATCTGCTAGCCCAGGTGCCACCTCGCGCACACCGCAGCTGGCCGGTGAGCCTGGGTAGACGGTGTGCACACAGCCGCCGGCAACCTGGGCGTGGCTATTCCTATGGTTCTGTGCTGGCCGCCGTTGCCCAGTGGATTGAGGGTCCTCCCATGCACCTTCGTTTCCGGTGAGGGTGCATGCCCAGGTTGTGGGCTCTGTCCCCAGTGAATTTACCAACTTATATGGGTTGACAACGATGATAGGGACCTTCATTACTGGATATTTATGCCCTTTTCTGTCTCGTAAAGTCTTTCTTTACGATGAGGGGTACTACATGTTCTTTTCTCCTTGAGGACTCAGCTCAGACTCCAAAACAACAGAAAAATTCTATTTCAACATCCTGTTACACCTTATGAAGTAGAGGTAACTGAGACTTCAGGAAGTAAGGAGCTTCTAGTTAAATATGGACATCAACATGACAGTTAAGAAATAAAAAAAAGCATTTTACTGTACAAAACAAATACAAAATTAAATTATGCACGAGAAAATGATGCAGTCAAGAGACATGGTAACCATGAGATGTATGAGGCTGCTGCTGGTGTAATATGTCAGTTTTACAGCAATTTTTTTAACATTAAAAGTTTTTTTTTAAATATTTTTTTAATTGATTTCAGAGAGGGAGAGGGAGATAGAAAAATCAATGATGAGAATCATTGATCAGCTGCTCAACCCCACTGGGGATC